GGCGGCGGCGGCGGTGGCGGTTCATCGCTCCCGACGACCGCCCTCAGCCTCGATCATCAGCAGTTCAACATCTTCCCTGCGATCTTTAGCAGGCAGTTGAACTTTTCCGCGGCGGCAGCTGCGAACTGCGGTCAAAACAAGCTGATGGACGAACTGAGGCCGAATCTCGGTTTGCTCGGCGTTGGACTCGTCGAGAACGAGAGCTTCCACTTGAATCACAATCAAGAGAAGAGAAAGTGTAGCAGCACGAGCTCGAACGAGCAAGATTTCAGCCTTTACGGGGTTCACCAGGGTCTCGAAGCAAGCCCGCCGACACCAGCCGCGACGCCTGGAAGGAGCAGCGTCGGGGCTACTTCTTCCGTTGGTGAGTATCGCTCTGAATTCATTCGTCTTTCAATTCTGTACGTTTCGAGTCGCCCACTCGTTTCACGACCGACTCGGACGTTTAAGTAAAATATTTGGAGAACGATCTTCCTATCGATACACCGATGCTTGGAAAACGCTAATTCGCGCACTTGCTTATGTTAGGAAAAGAGGGTTTAATAAAAATTTCTATGAAAAACGATAGATACATCGATGAATTTTATACGCAACGAGGATAAATGTTTAATCTTCTATATGAGGATGATAAATATTTAGCCACTAGTTTTTTATCAATTTATGTATCTTACCAGCATCCATTTGCTGTTACTATAAATCGGCTAAAGTATCCGGATACTTATATAAACGATAGCGTATACCAGGATCCTATTTGGTTTGACGTTATCTTAGAACGATCGCGCGTTAGTCTGTTTCCTCTAATCACGAATGAAAGAGATACAAACGTTGAGGATGATTTGGAGGTAAAAATGGGCAACGTGTCATCTCGATATAGATGAATTTTCCGCTTGTTGAGCCTCGAGTACACACGTACGTCGACGATAAGATCGGTTATAGTGTTGACAATGGGGTGCAGGACTAGACCATATGGTGGTACCTGTTCTATAGGCTATTATTATGTGCTCGTGGGGTTTCAGAGAGCTTAGCACCAAGGGTGTGCTAATGGGGTTCACTCGAATCGTTGGATGTAGACGCGTGTCGAGTCTTGTCATCGAAGCGAAATGCTGAACAGAACTCTGTCTTCCTCCCTCTTGCTATAAATTGACAGTAACTTGTACTTAGTGCCAGAATTCAATGTAGTCCAGCTGTTGGCTATCATTAACGAGTTTAACGTTTTTCCATCGCGGAGTAGAAGATTTTGCTACAAACTGGTCGTTTCTAGTTTCGTTTTTAACGGATAGTTAAAACACACATACAACGTGCATAATTTGCAACCGATCTCTTTCCGAGGACTCTGAAGATCAAATCAATTAGACTCGAATGACGATTCTGCGGAAAGCGAAAATTTTCATACTATGAAAATACGATCGTTCTACGTATGGAATTCGTTCGTACATCGACACGAGTCATGACAAATTTTCCGTTTAAATAATCAGTATCGTCGCGCGTTTAATACGCCGACGCGAATCGAAAATCCCGCCGATGACGCTCTTACGCTTTTCGAATGCCGAAGACATTCTTTCAAATTGGAATTCGCCACCGAATTACGCCAGTTTACGGTAATAAAGTTATGGATGAATCATTGGTAAGACGATGGGTGCGGGAATTCAATAAGGGTAGAGAAACTGTATGCGATCGTAAGCGTTGGTGTCGTCCGTCTCTCGTTACGGTGAAACGCGAGAACGTGTTTGCG